CCCGGATCCACCCGCTTGGCAGGCCGGATCTGGCCTACAGGGCCCTTTTACCTACCCCTGGTAAAGAGCAAGGATGGGCAATCATTAGCTGTAGAGCAAAGGGGAGGGCACACCAAGATTTTGGCAAGTGGCCAAGGGCTGCACTTTTCTCTGGAGTGGTTTGGGGCCTGGGTGCAGAAGGCAGCCGGGGACAGGGCACTGGAAGGGGTGTGGGGTCTGAGAGGGAGGGGGTGTGACCTGGGGTAGGGGGATTGGACTCCGACCTGGCGGAAAGGTGTCGAAGGGGGTGCAGGGTCTGGGAGGGAGTTGCAAACTGGGATGGGGGGTGCAGAGGGTTTGGAGGCTGAAGTGGCAGGGAGTTGGGGTGTCAGAGGCAGGCTCTGGGGGGGAGGCGCTTACTTTGGTGGCTCCTAGCCAGCAGCCAAGTGGGACCCTCAGGCCGGCTCCCTGCCTGCCCCAGGTGCTAAGTGACTGGCTGTTCCATGGGGCTCTTTGCCAGTCAATAGGAGCTGAGAGGGTTGCTGGAGACGGGAGCAGTAGTGCAAAGTTTCCCCCACCCCTGCCCCGTGCACAGTGCAGAAAGCCACATGGAGCAGCCAGCCCCTCTGAGCATCATGGCACTGCTCTGTGCCCGAGGGTCCCAGCAAGGCGGGCCAGATTAAAAGTCTTGGCAGGCCAAATTTGGCCCGCAGGCCCTGTCTTGCCCAACACTGTTATAATGAACAGAACTGGGTAGTTACTCAGTGATTCATCCTGTTCTCGGAAGGCCAGAAGCAGGAAGTGGAGGTTTAGGGACACAGGAACATGGGGTTGCATCCCTCACAATCTTGCCTAACAGCCACCGATCAACCTCCCTTCCACGAACGTCTCTCATTCTTTTCTGAGCCCATTTCTACTTTGGACCTTCACAACATCCCCCAGCAAGGAGTTCCACAGGCTGACTGCACCTGGCGTGAGGGCGTCCTGCCTTCTGTTTGTTTTAAACCTGCTGCCGATTCATTTCACTGCGTAACTCTAGCTTGGGTTGTTGGGAAGTAGGATGGAATAGTGTAGTCGATTAAGCAAAAGCTTATCGGTAAATGCTATCGACAAAACGCATTTCTCCCCCCCCTCAAGCACACTTTGTAGCAGGCTGGCCAGCAGCCCAGCTCAGTCCCAGGACTACCCCCTCTGTATTTAAAGTGTATTAGGAGCCAGGCGGGCAGGCAGTCCGGCTCAGTTCTGGCTCATGCCAGGTCCAGGAGCTCAGATCTCTCCCAGACAGGGGCTGCTATCAGACTGAATTGCTGCCTCTGATACAGCAGGGTGAAGCAACAGGCAGCTGGTCCACAAGGGGAGCTGGTTTTTAGACTTGCTCCCTGCACCAACCAGCTTCCACCTGGTTCCCCATGCTGCTGCCTCTGATACAGATGCAGCAGTGCGGAGTGGCAAGGGGGTCCTCGAGAGTGGGGCTGGAATGCACTGGCTGGTGGCACCGCCCCCAGGGCCAATAGAATAGCCGAGTAACCAATAAGAATTCACGAGGTTACTCAACTATTCCATTAACCGATATTTAACATCCCACGTCCTTGCACATTTTCTTCACACCCATCATGATTTCAGAGGCCGCTCTCATCCCCCTCCCCACTTGCTTGTTTCTTTTGTAAGCTCAGCAGCTCTGCACACAGACGCTGGGGTGGGTTTGAATGGCTGGCTTAGAGCAGACTGACTCCACAAACTAACCCCAGCCTCTCAAGCAGCTACTCCCAAGGAAAGATCAGTAAGAGCCACGCTGAAAGGGCGTCGGTAGCCACTCACAAGCCCTGCCTCCTGGCTAGGATCTCCAATAACTCACCTCCCCCCTGACAATTAGACCATTATGTGGGGAGCTGCCTTAGCTTCCCACCCCACGCACTGCCCCAGCTGTGTGCCCTACCTGAGGGGGGAGGCTTTGGTGCACGGCCTGCCCGTGGTGTGAAGGATCCTCCCGAGCATGGAGCTGCTCCCAGCACCTGGCGGGAAGGAAGGCAGGTGGCCAGAGAGAGCAGGAGTAAGAGATGCAGGCGGGTGCCCATCCCCTGTCATTCCATCCCCGTCCCCCCCACACAGGGGAGCAGCTTCCCCCTCAGCACCCAGCCTCCTCTGCACCCTGAGAAGATGAAGGATGGAGCCCTGCTCCGGCAGCGGCCCAGGCCCACACAGCCAGGCTGTTCTGCCCACCTTCCCCTCGCATTCTGATGGGGTTCGGGATCCAGGGGGCTGGACCGGCCCGCCCTCCGTGCACTGTGCACCCGCGTGAGGCCAGGGTGCGACGGCAGCATGTCACGCCCCAAGGAGGCACCTGACACAGTGCCAAATTTTGAAATAAACAGCTATTCCAAAACGTTCCTTACTCCTCATGCAATGAGGTTTACAAGGACATCAGAATAGCGAGCCTTTTACATTTCGATGTAACGGACTTTCTCTTAAGATGCAGAATAGCTATTTTGGGATACTAGAGGTATCCTGAAATAGTTCTGTAGTGTAGACGTAGCCCAAGTGACCCATCCCCTGTCATCCATTCCCAGCTTCTGGCAAACAGGAAGGGCCCTCCGGATGCCATCTAGTCCAGTCCTCTGCATTAGGGCAGAACCAGATCAACTTAGACCATCCCAGCAGCCATGTTCCTGCTAATCTTGTCCATGCATGTGCAGAATAATTGTGTTATGCGCACCGAGGCTTCTGCGGATGTGCACCACCAATAGAAACCCAAACCTAGCCGTGGGCACTCTGCTAATCCACTGGGTGACATCGGAATCTCTCCTGGGTGGCCACAGAAGCTCACAGCTTACAGGGACCCTGCCCAGCAAGTCTCTGTCCAACCGGCACTTAAAAACCTTCGATGGGGACTCCACAGCCTCCCTAGGAATCCTACACCAGGAGACTCAACTGTCCTTAGTGGGAGAAAACGTTTTTCCTAATACCGAACCTGGATCTCCCTTGTTGAAAACTCTGCCGATTGTTTGTCCTACCCTGGACAAGGAGAGCAACTTATTACCCTCCTCTTGATAACATCCTTTTACATACTGGCAGACTTTTCAGGACCCCCCCCCCTTCCCCCCACCACTTCCTCAGAGGTCAGGTCTTCCAAACTTTTATCACTGCTGTTGCTCTAAGCTCTTTGCGAGCGCCTGGCCCCCAGAACTGGCCACGGTGCCCCAGCTGGGGCCTCACGAGCACCAAGAGTAACGGGGCAGTGACCGCCGGTGTCCTATATATACCACTCCTGCTAATCCAGGATGCGGTACTCTGCTGATGGGAAACACCCTGGGCCTGCTTCAGGACAGACCCCAATGGCTCTAGAGGTGGATGCGGGAAATCAACACCTGTGAGAAGCAGGCTCTTTACAAGTGCTAAGTTATGAGCAAGCATAGAGCGCACCCCATCCCATGAGCCCGGGAATTCTTCCCGCGCAGCAGCACAACCTTATCTGTAAACAATATCCCAGGGAATTCCTCCCCCCCCTTCCCCGTCCCGAGATCTCTGCCTCCTGGTGCCAGGCCCAGAGCAAGAACACATGGGAATCTCTCTCCCACCCCATCCCCCCTTATTCACTCAGAACAGGACTTTTTGCTTATCGCCCTGATGTTTAGCCTTTCTCTAGCACTATTCCTCTGTGGACCTCAAAGCACTTCACCAAGGAGGTCTGTTTCTTTCACTCCAGATAGCTAGGGCCCTATACATTGGCAATCCATTTTGGTCAATTTCGCAACCACAGGATTTTAAAAATGGTCAATTTCATTATTTCAGCCATTTAAATCTGAACTGTCAGGGTGTGGTAACTGTAGTGGTCCTGTCCCAAAAAGGAGTTGGAGGGAGGACTCGCAAGGTTAGTGTGCGTGGGGGAGATGGACTGCAGAACTTCTACCTTACTGCTAGCAGTGGCGCTGCCTTCAGAGCCATGAAGTGGGCAAGCAGCAGCTGCTGGCTGGTAGCCCAGCTCAGAGCTCCACCCACAAGCAGCAGCACAGAAGAAAGGCATAGTATGGTATTGCCACCCTGACTTCTGCGCTGCTTCTGGCAGGGTGCTGCCTTCAGGGCTGAGCCACTGTCCTCTAGCTGCCCAGTACAGAAGTAAGAAACCTGCCCCACTGAAATAACCTTTTGAGTCCCTGCAACTGCCTTGTGGGTCAGGACCCCCAGTTTGAGAAATACTGGTCTCCCCTGTGAAACTGTATAGATTAGGGTAAAAGTACACAAAAGACCAGATTCCACAGCGGAGATCAGATCATGACCATGAATTTAGTAGGGCCCTACAGAGATGGAGAAACTGAGGCACAAAGTAGTAAAGTGACTTGCCCATGCTCACCCAGTGAGTCAGTGGCTCAGCAGGGAAGAGACCCCAGCAGGTCTATCTCCCAGCCCCCTACACTGTGCTCCCTCTGAGTAAGCTAGGAGGGAACACTTAGCACAATCAACAGCATCAATGCAATTCAAAGTGACATAACGAGGCCGGCAAGTCTCCTCTGATAACGCAGCACAAATGGGCTGCCATGTGAGCTGGGCCCAGCCAGAACCAAGGTCATCCCGAGCCCCAAGAACCCAGCACCCTCCCTCATACCCACAGGACTTTTGTCTTTACACAATTTCATCCGTGGAGAATTCACACACAGGATGTGGCTCTGACTTGCCACGGTCACTAGGGGAGTCGGGGCAACCCCAGGAGTGGAACTGGGGTCCCAGCCAATCTTCCCTTTAATTGTTTTTCCAGCCAGGTGCAGAATAAATTTTGTTATGTGCACCAGGTGTTACCCAGCAGGAGAAATGCACGCTACCAGCTGTGAGAGTTCAGCCAATCAGCGGGTTGGCACCTGAATCTTTCCCACACACTCAGCTTACAGGGAACAATGATCCCAGCCCCTTGCTATATTCTTGAGACCCTCCCACCTTCTCAGAGCCAGGCATCCTGACTCCCCTGTCCCTCTCATTAGGCCCTGCGGCCCCGAGAGGTAGACTCCAGGGATTCCATCTGCTGCAGTAATGCGGAGCAGTGAATTTTACCCCAGCGGGAGTGGGCTCCGGGGAGCGCCGGATAAGAGGCCTCTCGCTTACCTGGTGCAGAGCTGGGGAGCAGCAGCACCCGCATAATTCTCAGAGCCAGGCATCCTGACTCCCCTGTCCCTCTCATTAGGCCCTGCGGCCCCGAGAGGTAGACTCCAGGGATTCCATCTGCTGCAGTAATGCGGAGCAGTGAATTTTACCCCAGCGGGAGTGGGCTCCGGGGAGCGCCGGATAAGAGGCCTCTCGCTTACCTGGTGCAGAGCTGGGGAGCAGCAGCACCCGCATAATCTCTCGGGCCTGGCTCCAGCTCCAGCCGCTCCCAGCCTGGGGCAGGCATCTTGGGCACTGCATGGCAGGGGCCTGCTTCAGCTGGAACGCAGACAGAGATGGCTCGGGGAAGTGGACCACTCAGTGGATCAGAGAGGGAACCTCTGAGTGGCAAGGGCCCGGTGAGCAAACCCCAGCCTGCCCCAGAGCACTGCTGAGGGCGGAGCACCCAGCATCCTCTTGCAAAAGCTGAAATCCAAAGCTCGCTCCATGCACCCTTCCTCCTGCCGGGCCGGCTGGGCTCATCCCAACCAACAGAGAGCGTAGCGGGCTAGGATCAGAGCAGCCGCTCAGTCCAGCGCCGTGGACGGGTGAGACGGGAGACCCTTCCCACCGCTGCAGCGATCAGCGGGTGCCCTGCAGCATGGCTGCCCTTCCAGGGCCGGAGTCTCCTCTCCCACCACTTGAAATGGATTCACGCGAGGACGGGGTGAGCCAGCGGGGACTCAAATCCACTGTACCAGGGGAGCCGTTTGCCAGCCGAGGCAGAGGAAGGGCTCACCCAAGCGTGGGGCTGCAGCTGTTGTCATTCAGTTAATTTACAGGAGGGGGGAGCAAGAGAGACAGGGGAGCTGGTGAAGGAGCAGTGCCCCCCCCCTACAAAATCATGAGTCAGCCCCACAGATCTTCCTACTTATTTAGCAGTGACATTGAAGTCAGGTGATTCCAAGAAGGGAGGGGAGGGGAGAATTTGAGCATCAGTGAGACCTGGGGAGAGTTAGCAGCTCTAAGCATGAGACAGACCCGTTCTTACGCCCTCCCCTCCAGATACCTGAGCGGGGAGACACCTCCCCCCTTGGCCTGGCTGTGCCAGTCGCAGGAAGGCCAGGCCGGTGACTCCTCTAGCAGGTGGATCCCAGGTGTCCCACTGCCTGGCTGCCCTCCCTGGCATGGGGAGGAGACTGTCTGTGGCTGCACGTCTCTCTCCAGTGCTGCAGCGCCATTAGCCGCCGGCACAGAGCCCTCTGCGCTGGGCCTGGCAGCCTGCGCCGGCTGCTGTGCTGGAGAAACGAGACACGGGCTCAGGGCAAGCGGTCGCCTCCTCCCCTTAAAGCAGCAGGGGGGAGACGCTGCAGCTGTCGAGCTGGGGCCTGGCCTGGCCGAGAGCCGCACTCGGGAGCACCCTGCGCTGGAGATTCGGGGCCCAAAGCAATCGGGAGAGCGGGCGCGGGGCCCGGATCCTGCCCCCTTTTGAATGCCACCAGTGCTTATTGCAAGGGTGACTGGAGCAAGAGCCCCATTTAAAGCAGAACCAGCCCAGGCAGCTGGTGAAACCCTCGTGTGTGTCCTGGGCACACAGGGCTCATCCTCTCTCCCCCCGACAGGCCCCAGGCTAGGCGCCAGGCCAGGGCCGCAGCAGGTTGTGGGCACTGCCCCTCCCGATGCGGGTCAGGGCTGGGAGGGGGGTGCCAGCCCCTGTCCTCCAGCTGCGCTGCCAGGCTCAGGGACTCCTGGCCGGTGGGAGCTGTTGCACGTGGGTTTGGTGGTGCAGGGCTTGTGGCTGGGGGCATTCGGTGGAAGGAGGGCACTGAAGGGTTAATAGGTGACATGCTAGGAGGGAGTCTTTCCCTCCCCAGCCGGCCGTTGCCTGGCTGGGACCCCCACAAAGCAAGCTGCTGGGAGGGTGAGGCTGCCTCCCGCCGGCTCTGCTGTGTGTGTCGGGCGCCCGTTCCCACCCCAAACAGTCACCGAGCTCAGAAAGCTCCCACGCTAGGGACCTACCCGGGCTCCCTGTTCTCCCGCGCTGCCCCCCTGAGCAGGGCCAGGGCTGTCACTCACCTACCCCTTCTGGGTGCTTTTCACCCACCCCAGCGCCCTTTCTGCAGAGTCTGTCTCCACAGCCCCACTTCTACTGCTGGGGAAACCGAGGCACAGAGCAGGCCTGTAACAGCGCTGAACTACAACCCAGAAGAGCCCAAGTCCCTCGTGGCAACCCCTGGCCAGGAGCAAGGCTGAGACGTAAACCCAGGAGTCCTGGCTCAGTCACACTGCTCCATGCCCACCACCCCCTGGTTAGAGGCACATTTCGCTCTCCCTGGGGCTCCGTCCTGCTGCTCGGTGGCTCCATCGAATCCGAAAGGCAGGATGCGGCGGGTCCCGGCTGTTCTATTTCTATCAACAGCAGGGCAGGGGTGCTGCTCTGGGACAAGGGGGTTTCCTTCTCCAGAAAAGGACACATTTGGGGGGGACCTAACCTGGATCACAGTGTCCCAGGGCCACCGCTTCAGGGACTTTTTCCTGCAGTCTCGGCCCAGGGCAGCCCCGCGAGGAACAGCACCGAGGTTGCTGGGATCCCCACAGACCAGCGCCAGCGCCTCGGAGACCTAAGCCGGCCTCCTGCTCGCCCAGTCCCTGCCACCACAGCTGTGGCTTCCGATAAACACCAGCGCCTCGCTCAGAGCCCAGCCCAGCAGGGAAAGCCGGAGAGGCAGGAAACCAGGGCTCTGTGCAGGCAGCTGGGGGAGCAAGACCCAGGGCAGGTCAGAGAGGGGGGCGTGAAGAAAGAAGGGACTCGGGAAGGTAATAAGTTACCTAGCGTGGGATATCGCAGCCGGCTGCTTGTTAGTCCGACAGCCTTTGATCCATTTGGAATTGCTCCTCCCCACCCGGGCCTGTGGGTGTATCTCCACCGTCCAGGCAGCTGCTACAGCTTGCCCCGTGTGCTCTAGAGCGTCCTTCCCCTTCCTTTCTGCGCCCTTAGCTCGCTCGCTCTCTCTCTCTCCACGAGCGTCTCTCTTCTGCTTCCTTGTAACTGTAACTTCCTGCAACGCTGGCCCATCCCACTGTTGTTCCAGCTGCGGCAGCTGCCAAAAATAAGCCGGCTGGTGAAACCACGGAGGAGGGAGGGAGGCAGGGGAGCAAGAGACAGCTGCTCCATTACCCTGCAAAAGTTATTCCCAGACTCGCAGGCCCGGAGCCTCAAAGTCAGTGGAAATCTATGGATGGGAGCAGGCGCTGGGCAGCGTTGGCAGCGCTCCTGCGCTGGGTGCACTGCGGGTTAACGACACATCACACAATCATAGGATGCCGTTCGGTACGAAGCCCAGGGTCTGTGCTAGGCAGCAGCTCCAGGCCTGGTGCAAGTCTGGGCGAGGCCCTCCTGCTATTTCCCCATGGTGCTCATCAGTACAGCTGCAGCACCTGGGGGAAGGGGGGGGGGGGGGGCAGGCAAGGTTCCTGCTCCCTCGAGCTGGGGAATTAAGATGTTAACACAAAGAGCCATGAAGACCCGCAGTGGTGGATATGGGGGGGAGGTGTTCCCCCTAGTTTTTCCATTCATGTGTGGAATAATTTTTTTCATGTGCACCAAGTCTTAGCAACACCTGCTGCCAGCTGTGGGCGCTCTGCTAATCAGCTGGGCGGCATAGGCAAGGTTCCTGCTCCCTCGAGCTGGGGAATTAAGATGTTAACACAAAGAGCCATGAAGACCCGCAGTGGTGGATATGGGGGGGAGGTGTTCCCCCTAGTTTTTCCATTCATGTGTGGAATAATTTTTTTCATGTGCACCAAGTCTTAGCAACACCTGCTGCCAGCTGTGGGCGCTCTGCTAATCAGCTGGGCGGCATTTCAATCAGTCCTGGGAGGCCATCCAAGCACTCAGCTTACAGGAAACTCTGGGGGGGCGAGCAGGACAGGGGGAAGGAAACGTGGCTCCTTGGCCCACGGTGTTTTCCCTGTGTTTGGAAAGAGCAGGGAGTCGTGTCTGATGCAGGGACCGTCTTTTTGTCGTGTCTGTCTGGAGCCAAGCACAGGAGGGTCCTGATCCCTGCCTATGGCTACTAGATGCTCAGATAACATGTCACACACAGTAATGATCGCAGCTCTATGGGGCAAAACCCGATACAGGTTCAACCTCTCTAGACTGGCACCCTCGGGACCTGACTGGCGCTGAACCAGAGAATTTGCTGGATGCGAGAGGTCAGTGTTGTCTAGCAGCATGACCCACACTGCCACTGCGCACTGGGCTCGGAGAAGACATTTCGGGGACATTCGAGCTAAATAGCACAGAACACTCAACCAGGACGAGCAGCTGCAAACAAACTTTATGGGACCGCAAGAAACTTGGCCACCCCCATGCTAAGTGGACATCCGAGTAACTAACATCATGCTGGAGCATGGATGTTGCCGGACCAGACTGTGCCGGATTGGAGAGGTTCCACCTGTAGCAGGGATGTTGCAAGGTGCCTGATCCCAGGTGGTTCCACTCTTGCAGCCGCATGGAGCAGCTCGCAGCAGGGAGAGAAGCGGGTGGGGTGGAGTCCTTCTCGGCTTCCTCCCTGAGGAGCCCAGCTGTCTTGTGAGGTTTGGCAGCCAGGAACCCACCCATCTGTGTCTAAGGGACGACTCACCCTGGGAGGTGACTCAGGGCCTTTCTGGCTTTTCCTGCCCGCCCAGGCGCTGAGCGAGAAGAGTATCGACGCAACAGCCGTCCCTGCCGGGGCCTCGGGCTTTGTACAGATGGTTAGTGGATGGAGGAAGCGCTCAGGTGCTCCAGTCCCGGCCTCACCCAGAAGGAAGTGGTCTAGCGAAAGGGGCAGGCGTTCTGGCTAGAGGGGGAGGGCCCTGCTCTCCCAGGCCCAGGTGGAAGCATTGTGGGGACTGAGGCAGGAGCCTTGCCTGGGGGAGGGCTCAGACATGCCAGTCCCAGCGTCTCCCGGCAGGAGCAGTGCCGGCCCTCCGCCGAATGCACCCTCTTGTGAGTCCGAAATGACCGACGCTGGCAATGCACAATCAGGAGACCCAGCGCTGGTCAGGGTGGGAAGGAGTTTCCTGCCCTGGGACATGCCTGTGGGAATCTTCCTCTTCACAGGGAAGGCAAAGCTGGGTCAATTAACAGCATCTGTCCTGGACTCCCCAGAGCAAGGCCAAGGCCAAGGCTACCCCCCTCCCCCTCAGTGCATTCAGGGTTTCTCTGCCATCGGCCACATTCCTGGGTAGGCGCAGTGCCAAGGTGGAACCCA